TAGTCAAATTAGGACTTTGATATACTTAGTTTCCTTCTTGCACAATAGTATCTAGAATGTTTAGGTTAGTTAATATTTTATTGCTTTAATATGTTTCCTAGGTAGATTAGAATTAGTAGTAATTAGGATCTATAAATAGAGATCATCCCTCATTGTTTTTCATGTCCAAGAATGATGAAATAGAAAAGAACGTTTGTTCGAAACTGTGTGTTAGAGTCGTGAGATTCGATCATGCGGTCGAATTGGTGAGGCTAAGACCCGAGCCAGTTCAACGATTTAGAGAGGCTAAGACCCGATCTCTTTCGAGAGTGTAGCGAGGCTAATACCCGAGTGAACTCAAGTATCGTGAGAGAGTTAGGCTAATAACCGAGTCGATCACACCTATCGTCGAGAGCAAGGCCGTGGCGAAGCCGTGATCGAGACAAGTCGAGGACACGCAACACCCGATCCGTCATTATTGGTGCTTTCATTGAGAGTGATCGATTGGGTGTTCGTGAACTTTTTCTATCACATTCTTTTTCTTTGGTTCGATTGTTTTTGAGTCTTTTGTTCGATTTTTTTCGAATTTTATCCCTTAATTTTCGAAAAATTTCGTGAGTCATAAAAAAAAAAAATAGTGTCAACTTGTTAGTCCTTTTGTTTGATTTTTTCGGTTATTACCTTTTGTTGAAGGGGCCGAATTTCTTTTGTTTTTTCTTTCTTTTTGGTTCGACTTGTTCGAATTATTATTTTTAGAGTCTTAAAAAAAAAAACGAGAGAGTCATGACGAATCGTGAGAGATTCGATGCACTTGAGGAAAGCGTGAGGTCCCTTGGCAACGGACAACACGTGGTCAATGAAAACATGGCAAAGTTGGAGGTGATGATACACGACTTGGCGGGACAGCTCGAGAGAGTCAACCACCATACGCGGAGGAGCCGCACATCGAGATCAACCATAGCGGGAACGGGCAGTTCGACGTCTAGTCGCGATGACGACGATGAACGGTCGCGGGAAACGCGCGCCCAACACCACGGCGATCGCAGGGCGTATGGCCATCGGCGTCATCGAGAGGAGCACGTACGTGCGAAACCGAAGATAACGATGCCAGCGTTCGAAGGAGTAGATCCGGATGCATGGTTAAGTCGTGCCGTGCAATTTTTCGAGATCAATGAGGTGCACAAATATGAAAGAGTTCAAATTGCTGCCTACTACTTAGATGGTGAGGCCAACACATGGTGGCAATGGGTGTCACATGTTTATAAAAATAAAGGCGAGCAAATTAGATGGCGAGATTTTGAAAAGGAGCTGATTGCCAGGTTTGGATATAGCGAATACTTTGATTATGATGAGGCGCTGACAAGGATCCGCCAAACCGGTAGTCTACGCGACTATCAAAAGGAGTTTGAGAGGATAGCAAGCCGGGTTCGAGATTGGCCCGAAAAGGCACTAGTAGGTGCGTTTGTAGGAGGCTTAAAGGCTGAGTTGGCTGCAGAGGTACGATTGGACAGGCCAAGGTCGACAAGGGCTGCCATGGAAGCAGCGCGACTGCACGAGGATCATCTCGCGGCAGTGCGCAGAGCCAGACAAAGCGAAGGGCACACGGACGTTCGACGCACGAGCGTCGTGGTCGACGATACGCCCCCACAGGCCGAGGTCAAGCCAACAGTCGGTGATGGTACACGCACCACCAGCAACTACCGGCGATTGACAGAAGATGAGATACAAAGGCGAAGGAAGAAAGGCTTGTGCTTTACTTGCAATGAAAAATTTACGCCAGGCCACAAGTGCAAGGGTAAGAAAATTTTTGTGTTGGAAATTGAGGAGGGACGAGAGGAAGAAAAGCCGCAGGAAGAGTCTTGGTTGCATATGGTGAAGTGCAACAAGCGTGGTCCTAAGATGATCAAATTCACGGCTGAGGTAAAAGATATGTTGCTAGAGGTACTAGTGGA